GTTTTATAAATTGGGGCACAAGCAGTTATGGAAAAACAAAAAGATAGTTACAGTGGCATCCAAGTTTGAGCACCCTTGCTTAAAATTACTGTGAATAGTTAAATGTGCAGAAGATGAACTGATCACCAAAAGGCATAAAGTTAAAGATGACACATTTCTTTTCAGTATTTTATGCAAGATTAGTGTATTGTTCTTGTTTTGTACAACTGTAGAAAAAGGAAAGGAGCACCATGCCAAAGTTTGGGCACCTCAAGATATTTGAGGTCTCAGATAACGTTTACTAAGGTCCCAGACCTTCATTAGCCACTTAGGACTATGGCTTGTTGAGAACTTAACTAATAGCTCAGAGTTATTAAAATCTTATCTAGCTCTGATTTAAAGGAACCCAGGGTTTTAGCTTGCACTACACTAACAGGGAGACTATTCCATACTCTATCTACATGCTGTGTAAAGAAGTGCTTTCTCAAATCCATTTTAAAATGTTCTCCCGCTAATTTCCACTTATGGCCACGAGTTCTAGTATTTATACTAGAACACTAGTATAATATTGTACAATATAGTTCTTGTATAATATTGAAGTAGCCATTTGGCTGAAAAGCATCCAGACCTGTAAGAATCTTATATACCTGGATCATGTCCCCCCTTAGTCTCCTTTGCTTGAGGCTAAATAGATTCAGCTCAGCCAACCTCTCCTCATAGACCAGGAATCATTCTTGCAGCCCTATGTTGCACCCTTTCCATGGCACTCTATAAATTCTCTAACTCCTCAAACCTTGTACCAACAAACAGCAGCCATGGACTCCTGTAAGCAGCTGCCTAGCACTCTTAAAAAAAAATATTCTTACAAAGGAGGAGAAGGCTATAAAATGGTAGCAAAGCATTTCCAGATAGCTATTTCCTCACCTCATAATGTTAAGAAATGGCAGTTACACGAACAGTGGAGGTCAAGTTGAGGTCTGGAAGACCATGAATATTTTCTGAAAAAACTGCTCGTTGGATTGCTAGAAAGGCAAATAAAAATCCCTGTTTGACTGGAAAAGACCTTCTGGAAAATGTTGCTGACTCGGGAATGGTGGGGCATCGTTCTACTGTGCAGTGACACCTAAGCAAATATGACCTCTATGGTAGTGAGCAGAAGAAAACCTTTCCTACATCCTAGGCACAAAATTCAGCATCTGAAGTTTGCAAATGAACATCAAAACAAGCCTGATACATTCTGGAATCAAGTCCTGTGGACTGATGGATTCAAAATAGAACTTTTTGGCCACAATGTGCAAATTTGTTTGGGGAAAGGGTGCCGAATTCCAGGAAAAGAACATTTCTCCAACTATTAAGCATGGGGGTGGATCGATCATGCTTTGGGCTTATGTTGCAGCCAGTGGCACAGGGAACATGTCATTGGTAGAGGGAAGGATGAATTTGAATAAATACCAGCAAATTCTGGAAGCAAACATACCAACTGTAAAAAAAGGTTGAAGTTAAAAAGAGGATGGGACCTACAACAAGATAATGATCCCAAACACCTCAAAATTTACAATGGAATAACTCGAGACGCAAGCTTGAAGGTTTTGGTATGGCCCTCAGTCCAAATAAGAACTGACAGACTCTTAGCTGGATACAAAAAGCATCTTTGCCAAAGGAGGGTGTTACTAAGTACTGACCATGTCAGGGGCCCAAACTCTTGCTTCAGGCCGTGATCATTTGTTGGTATTTTGTACCTGTGAATGATGTAAATAAAATGTAATCTTGCTTAAAATATTAAAGAAATGTGTCATCTTTAACTTTATGCTTTTTGGTGATCAGATCTTCTGCTCACTTCGCTATTCACAATTACAGACATTTTAAGCAAGGGTGCCCAAACGTGTACGCCACTGTATTATTTGACCTGTTTTTATCACACAGCTGGTTCCCCCATCTTCTTATCAGCACTGCAGCCCTCAACAGAGACAGAGGCATCATTCATCAGGGAAGCTTCAGATGGTCTCAGATTAGGCAGCTTTTTATCTCTTTGCCGGTTCCACTGTCTTTTGGTGAATGATGCCACAATGACCAGAGCAATCACCAACATCCCCACGCTCACCAGAAACACCCGTTCTCTTCTTGAAGTCAGCCCTACAGAAAACAGAGAGATCAGTAAGTGTCCAGACACATTTTCACACAGACACTTGATCCTCAGTCAGTGTAAAATCCCACTGAAGCAGCCAGTAGAGCCGCATCACCGAGCCGACAGCCCGACCCAGAGCAGCTTTCCGTCTGACGCCTTTCTGCAGCTGTTAGGGACCCTCCTCAGGGGTACAACAGCAGGCCCCCTGGGGCTCAGATCCATACTCTTAAGCACCCTGCCTGCTGGGCACCAAACAGACAGTTTGACACAGTATCACTCATAAAATGTTAATAGCGCAGGAAGGCCAGGCTGTGAGGAGTGTGTATCTGCTGTGAGTTGCAGGCACTGGGGGGCGCTGCATCACCAGCGTGACCCTCTGACAGCTTCACCCCCTGCTGATGTATCAGAACCAATATTGTCACCGTTTTGACTGATGGAACCATAAAATCCTGGCAAAAACAATCGGTTCAGGTAATTTTGTACAAATTATGGTGATGACTTGGTAATAATTACCAGTACTAAGCTATGGCATGTAAATAAATACACTGTCCGGTAGTGTTGCGTGGGTCGGCTTTTTTTAACACTCGCCCCAAACCGACCCATCAGGAGATCCAAACCGCCCCACCAAACCCGCAAAAATACGTGTGGATAATGACCCAAAACCCGACCTGACCCAAGGAAAAAAAAAATACCAGTGAGCCTGTATTGCCATGGAACCTACCAATGAAGTATCATTTGTGACACTGTAATCCATAGATGACATAGATTTGTGCTAGATTCGCATTGAATATGACAATTTTATGCAAGATTAACTGTGTACCAAACAACAACAAAGAAACCGAAAGATCGATTTTTACGTCGTTATTTATTGAAGGGTTGCAGAAAATTACACAAAATTGCATCTCTCTCTCACACACACAAACACACACAAGCGCGCATGTATGCAAAACACACTAGTTGTCAAAACTGTAACATCAGATCTGAGAACTCAGATTTGAATGAACTTAGTAGAACTTAGGTCTTCTTTTAACTTAATTTTGTCTAAAATGAAGTAGAGCAGAGCATATTTAACCGTGATAATTCACCAAACTAGTAGCTTAACCTACAAATTGAAAACTCCAAAATTGAAAAATATACGCCGACTGCATTTATGACAACCTTTGCATCGCCCTTTCTTAACTTTTCTCTGATTAAGTTAGCCATGTCTTCATCGGAGGTCTAATAGAGAGGTTTTGGCGGTGTAAACTAAAGCTATGGATAGCTTTATTTCCTTTTATTTCCCTCATTGTGATTGCGAGTGGAACTAGGAGATCCTTGTGGTAATTCAAACCCCGTTCACAACACGTTTTGATCGATAATGAAAAGCGCTTTGTAACTTTTTGACCCGCCCGCCCCCACACACGATATTTTAAAAATGTCTGCCCTAAAACCGCCCACACCCGCAGGTCACGGGTCGACCTGCGCATCACTACTGTCCGGCCAAAAAAAAAAAATGGCATTTTTGCCACAAGCTTATACAACATTTCAACATTTATTTTCATCCGTATTAATTTTCAACCGAGATCTCGTATTGACATCTCGTATAGCCTGTCTTTCTTACTATCATCTCTTCTATTGCACTCGTCTCGTGTCACACTGTCTTTGCAATGTTTGCTCTTTTTGCACACTTGCACTTGTAGTCCTGTGTCGATGTAGTGTTATATGTAGCACCATGGTCCTGGAGGAACGCTGTCTCGTTTCACTATGTACTGTATTACTCTATATGGTTGAAATGACAATAAAAGTCACTTGACTTGACAAGTGAGTTGAACCACTCTGTAAAGTCCTCTTCAGCACATCCCAAAGACTTTCAATGGGATTAAGGTCAAGACTCTGTGGTGGCCAAATCATGTGTGAAAATGATTCATCATGTTCCTGAACCACTGTTCCACAAATCAAGCCCAATGAATCTTGGCATTCTCATCATGGAATATGCCCATGACATTAGAGAAGAAAAAAAATCACTGATGGGATTAACCTGGCCATTCAGTAGATTCAGATACTCAGCTGACTTCACTTTATTGCTGCATAACTGTGTTGAGCTGGTATATTGATTCAGTCATTTATTTTTAAGTATTTGCTGATTTAAATGCAAATGGAGGCTTTTTTTGGCCGGGCATTGTATTAAGAATCCACCAGTAGAGGTAGGTAGCTACTGTAGGCAAGTATGTGAATGTTTAATGTCAAGTTAGCATCTATTTCATGGCAAGAACTAGGTTCAGCCAATAACTATTCATATAGAGATAGGAAGCAGATAAATTGGATGCAGATAGCAGCTTATACACTGGAGCAGAAACATGTTTATCACACAGAGTATAAACTCACCTAGAAGGTTTTCATTAGAAACCTGTTTCTCTTTGGTTTCTGATCCTGGTAAAAACAAGCAAATCAGTTTTTGTATAAACTGTGGTGACCAATTACTGCCATAAGAACTGATTACTAAGCAGTATCATGTAAAATAAATATCTACCATCACATGACATTAACGTAAGAATCACACTGGAACAGAAGCATGTTTATCCTACAGGGTATAAACTCACCTGGAGTATCTTCTCTTGCTCTGCTTGGGTTGCAAAAAGGTTCTGATCCGGGAGGGAAAAAGAAACTAATCAGCAGATCCTGTGTGAAATCTGGTGCCTCTTTATTCCTGTTTGTGCCAAACCCTGTCATACAGCCATGATCTCTGATCACTAGCCAAGCGTTTGCATGCTGCTCACATACGTACGTTAGGGAGCCTGTAACATCCCATCATATTCATATCACATGCGTGCTAAACTGTTAGCATCAAAACACCACAGTGACATCAAACGTGTTGTCACGGACACAGCTAAAACACGGAGGTAAGCCCAGGCTGGGGGGGTCAGAGGCTACGGGTCAGGGGTGGTGGTGGTAACAGCCTACTTTACATTAAATAAACCTGCACAAACCACTGTCAGCCCTCTTCACTGCATCCCTTCGCTGACGACTTCCTGCAGACAAAGAGGGACAGAAGCAGCAGAGTCAGCGTGAGCCTGTAACTCAGAGCTGCAGCAGTGAGTGTGAGATGCAGGGTAGCAGCAGAGAGCTGGGGGCCGGGGGATAAAGGCGGCCTGCAGAGAGTCCCTACTGCTCTTAGCTAACGGGTCACGGTTCTGTTCATGCGGGTTGGGGAGCAGACTGAGCTGTATGAGGCTCTGACCCACAGAGATTGGTCCCAGGGGGGTTAAGGGGGAAGGGAAACTGGCAGAAGGGTCACTTACCTTTAACAACAAGGTGAATAGTCTGCTTTTTGTCTTCACTGATCTCACACGTATACACCCCTTCATCCTCATTTCTCACAGTATTAATGATCAAAGAGAAGTTGTTCTGTCGGATGGATCCAAGCTGAGTTCGGTTCACAAGATGACTATTTTCACACCATGTCCCATTTATATCCCAACAGGCAGGCTTGCCATTAAGCTTCCACAGAACATTAACCTCCTTGATGTCTGTAGCTGCTGCTCCATAACAGGGCAGCATGACAGTATCTCCAACATCAGCGTAGATAGCTGATTAATATACAGAATAAAAGAAATAAAAATGATTGTTATAATAATTACTTTACACACAGTGCCAGCTCTCCACACTGCCTGGTCCATTCATTGTGCCATGTGACTCTGTACTAATCACATACCACAGCTTTCTTCAGCTAGAATGACATCATACAGCAGGTATAGTAACCAAGCAGCTGTTTAAGTTACAGTTACCTTACAGCATAAAAGAGACAAGACAGTGAGAGACCCGACCGCCCTGTCAGGAGAATGTTACAGCAGACACCCCCATCAGACACTCACATTACCGCATAATTAACAAAGCAAAGAAGCATTGACATATACAGCTAATTACACACAGGATCAGTGTGAGGCTGTTACTCACCCTCTGAATCGGCACCTGGGAGACAGTGACCAAGGTAGAGGAGCAGCAGAAGCCTGAACATCATCCTGCAGTTAGAGAAGATCGAGATGAAAGAGATCACATGTATTCACATGTATGAAGGATGGGAATAAAAATACAAACTCAGCCCGGCTGTCTGCAGTCTGCATCCTCAGGGTCAGACAGTGTAACATTTAAATAACGTTAAAATAACATCATGATCATCTGCCGAACCCCACAACATTTTTGGAGCTTTTCTTAAAATTTGTGATACAACTAATGCAGTTCTATATTTCACACACGATTTGGCCACCAGGGTGTCTTTTTTTGCAGAAAACTGCAATAATTGGCAAAACTGCAAGTTCAGGCATTTTTTAAAACTACTGTCATTAAAAAAAGAAAAGCAACTACTTTCTTTTTCATAGCTATTTTTGCATCACAAACAATCACATTGCTCAGTGTTTTTTTTCTGTATTCATTTTCATTTATAATCCAAGAACCATGGACTCGGGTTATACTATTTATAGTGGTATCATTCAATTAAAAAATAAATCCAGTTAATCACAATAATAGGCTATGATTAATCACAAGTTTAAAATGGTAGTACAGACACTTAAATGACTTCCGTTCCGATAACCAGGTTGTTAAGTGAATTGGTCGATAAGCAAGGAACCAACCCTTACCGATATGTCAAGCATTTTTAGATATTGTTAAAGTCACCTTTGCACCATTTATAACATTTTTTGTATATTTGTACATTTTTATAGTGTAGAGTATACTGTAATAGACAGTGTACTGTTCCCACTGTGTGTTTTTTCCATAGTGACGTGAAAATCTATGAGTGAAACTGTAATAACATAAGATATTTACAAACGAGAGGAGGCCATTGGGCCCATCAAGCTTGTTTGGGGAGAACTTAATAGCTCAGAGTTGTTAAAATCTTATCTAGCTCTGATTTAACGGAACCCAGGGTTTTAGCTTGCACTACACTAACAGGGAGACTATTCCATACTCTAACTACACGCTGTGTAAAGAAGTGCTTTCTCAAACTTGTTTGTATTTATAATCCTAGCTACCTCTTTACTACAGTATTTTGACTTTTTTTTAAAGGTAAACCAAATGTTTCATGGTAACATAAGATTTTATTACGTTAAGTATTGATTAAATATACAAAGTTATGTTGTAGTATTATGTAGTAATATGCAAGGTAAAAGGGTTTGGTTTTGTCATTTTAAGCAACTAACATTGTGTCACTGCAGTATTAGTACATCTTTATACATACGAAATACTTTAAGCATTACGAGACATAAAATTGGCATAATATAAT